CTGAACAACCAGGCACTGCTTACTACCAGAGCATTTTATTTTTCCAATATAAGAAAAAAAAAGAAAAAAAAAAGACACTTCTACTTTGGTTATTGTTGTGCTCATGTAAACAGCACTGACGATCGCAATCCCTGAGGTGGAAGCTAGCTCAGAGCCTCATGGAAGAGATGGATCTTTTCCAACTGCTGAATATAAACCACAGTAGCAGGTATAATGATTGCAAATAAGAAGTCCGGCAAAAAAGGGACGGACTAGACTTACTTAGAACAATCCATTGTGCTCTATTAAACAGACTTTTCTGATAACATAAGATAGCTGAAATCTCATTTTATCAAGGTCTGATCTGCTTTATGTCATTCTTAAGTGCTCATGCTTCCTTTTCAAGCTATTATACTTATTGTCTAACTTACAGCAATACTAAGGGGGTTACATCATAATAATCACAACATGATGATGATTTATAATAGGAAGAGATTGTCTAATGTGGAGAGTTACACCCTCAGACATAGGCAAACTTAGCATAATGTTTATAGAGAGCACAGGCATTGATTACATTTGAAGAATTAGCATACTGAAGTTCCACATGCAGATTGCAGAGGACTGAGGTGAAAATAGGAGCGTGTCCTTAGTGCTTGTGCTGAATCAGCACTTTTAAGGAGCTGGCTGACACCCTGGCATGCAGTAGCACAACGGACAGTATGACACAAAAGGACAGATTTATTAAACGTTTTCTGACACATTTCAGAAATCCCTGTGTGTGTTTTGTGTGTGTGTTGTTTATCAGACGGATGCATTGGCCTGGAAGTACAGTTGTCATATGAGGTTAATCTTGTGTGAAATAGGTGAAGTGTGCCTACCAATTGGCATAGGATCATAGAAGTGACAAGTGTATTTACAAGTCCATGCTGTTTGTGATTGCCATTTTGTGGGGAACATTCTCTGGCTCTGGAAAGCAGGTGTGCAGGTGTATTCAAACAAAATCTACAAAAGAGCTTCTTTGAATGAAAATGAGAGCCATTATACATATAATAGTATATTAATTTAGAGAAACACAATGCCTGATTTAACAAGGGACAAAGAATGGTGGATTGAATTCATCTTGGCTTCCAGCGAGCTGCTGCAGCACTACAGTATGTTGATTTTACCCTTTTGATTTAACTGTTGCAGTATTTTGATGCAGTTATCTTGGGAGTCCATGGGCATATCAACTGTATTTCAGCTTTGCTCCTAGACTCTAAAATACACAATGCTGGACTGTGTCCATCCTATTCCTGTGACATATTGTCTGAATGTAGTAATGTTGTGTGTTTGGTTGTTTCACCAATACATACCCTACAATTATGCAAAGTTAATAAAATGCCTTACACTTTATTGTTTTAGACACCGTCTGGTCTACTGTTTGTCTTTGATTTGTGAAGAAGTCATTGAGCCTCTGGCAAAAAATGTGATGTCAGGAGAAAAAGCTAAAAAGAGGGATAGCTTAGAGCGTTTGCAAAATTAATTAAGCAAAAAAAATAGAAAAGAGAGAGACTAAACTTCTGAGTCTGACAACAGGATCCTGAGCACTTACCCTCTGAAATTGTGAACAGGGGTTGACAACCTGTCATCTACTACCCGGCAACATCTATAATACCTCAGAGAGCAGGCTGACTTGGAAACTGCCAGTTATTTGTTGTGGTTTTTGGAGAAAGCATAGAACACACAGTGATTGAGAGATTTGATGAAGTCAGATCTGTAGATGTCAGTTTCTTTTTAGTTTTCAAACTGAACAAATCCGACACAATATTTAGCTTTCAATACATGATTGCAAATTATGCGTTTGATTGATGACTGTGGAGAGGGCGTGTGGGTTTAACCGAACCAATTTAAGACTCTCTAACTGAATTGATGCCAGCCTCTATGACAATCACTCACAGAACTCAACAGAGCTTAGGCTTTCAAAAAATGTAGCTTCACATCTGTTTGTCTTGATGATTGCAAAGCTGTCAGACAACTTAAGACTATTTGGATTTGAATGCATGTTTGTTTGGGTCATATATAACATGTGTTGTAGTACATAGTACATACCCTAAGCTAGCTCTGCCTCTTCCCTTCTCTCTGACTTGTCAATCACACGCTTGAGTCATGGGGTGGAAGTTTCACCTTGTTTCAAGCTGTTTTCTGTTGCCACAATTCATTCAACAGGTTAAAACAAGCATGCAATCACTCAAATTCCCTTATGGTCTCTCTCGAAAACTAGACCCACGTAACAATGAGATTTCCTGTATAAGTAGAGTTGACAAACAGAGAATATACTGCAATGAGTTCTCAAGACCAACAAATGTGAACAACTAATCTGCAGCCTCAGATGAACCCATCAAGTATTTACAATTTTCCCTGAAAGACATCAACACTGATTGTGCTCATTAGAAAAACACCCCAAAGTTCACCACCCTTTCTTCACATTTGAGTTGTCTTCTTCTCTCTCTCCTTGTTAATACTAGAATATTGTGGCTGTTCCTGCCCGCAGGTTAGAGTCACAGCTGTTCATTCTAAGGGCTTATGACATTTTGTTTTTCCCTGAAACTACATGCTAACTCAGACTTATTTTTTCTATTGTTTTGTTGGTGGCCCTTTGTTTCTCCAGTTTATCAAACAGTACTGAGTATCTATTATCACAGGACTGATTTTGGCTCATTGTTTCTCTTAGCCAGAGTAACATAAATGATTCTTGTTGAAAGCGATTCAGCTCTTTTCACCAGTACACAATCATCCCTTGTAATTAAGTGCAGAACGATTAAAAGAAGCGCATGATTACCTTTGTTTGTATGTGACTGATTCAAATCAGTGACTGCAGAATACCATTTCATTTTGTCAGAAAAGTGCCCCTGTTTTGCTTTCACATCATTTCAAAAATAAGATCAGAGTAGATTTTTGTTGTATATCACTGAATGTTTTAGAATGTTTATTTTATTGTACTTATGTGTGAGCACAATTAGCTTCTTCTCCTAACATTAATTTACTGAAGTGCTTCACACACATGCCACAAACACACTCACATTGGATGAAACTCATTGCTTTGTCAATACAGTATTGACATGTGTGTTTGCTGTAAGTGATTGACTGTCAAACATATGTGTGTCTGCATGTTTGGTCCTTGATTCTCTGTAGTACCTTCATGTCCACCATTTTGCACAAAGACTGTAAACACAATTGTATATTCTTTTACGAGTCTTTATCTCAGAACACAGGGTGGATTTAGTTTTAACTCCCATTACCATGTCTTTGTATAAGCCCAATTCTCATTGTTGGTTAAACATTTTTTTGCCTGTTTTTTTGAATATTTAATACTACAAATACTGGAGTAATATTTAAACATACTATATTTGTTTATTTAAGCCCTGTAGGCCATGATACTGTGGCCTGTGTAAATTGATTACAACAACTACGACAAACTAATTTGCTCTCAATAAATGTATGCATAACTTAAAATGAGACCACAGGTAGCGTACCCTTGAGTTGAGGAGATAGGGAGTCTGTTTTGGGGCAGCCTTGCCTCAGGCTAAATTGGCAGATCGATGATGCTTTAAATCAATGTTCCAGCAATACCACAAACCCCATGGAACCCATTAGTGAATTAAGATAGACCACTGTTTCACGCTGGGTCCTGTTCTGCCTGCAGGTCCTTTCCACATGACAAATGGGGGGGGGGGAACTGTGAAATAAAACAAAGGGAAAAGGGCAAATGAGAGGGTGAGAACAAGCTGTGGGAGAGAAAATGTTGACAGGAAAGGCCGAGGTCAACGCTGCCTGTAAGGACACACCTGTAGCTTTTGTTGCAGAGATGACATTTTTTTTCTCTATCTATAAAGAAAAAGTCTCATATCCCACCAACCAATGCTTCATGATTCCTTCTGAAAAGAGCATCCAGTGAACCCTGAATAACATGCTCTACATGCAAAGTAGTCTGTGTCAGCCAATAAACTGGAAAGGGAACAGAGTAGGAAGAGATGTGAGTGATGTATAAGAGCAGATGAGACAGAGTGGGTGTGGAGAGAGAATGCCAGGGGAGCCGGTCTTTCTCTGATAGCATTGTTTATGTGCCACTGTCTGTGCATCATTGATCCATTTGTCTTCATTACTTCTCCCTGTGAGAACTATTAACTGCTGCCACCCTCAGTTGGGGTCCTGCAATGTTGACATGCACTGCACGGCCTCTCTACCAGCCCACAATTGTCCCTGCCACCTCTCCTCTTTGAGATAGACGCTGACAGTTTTATCCTGATTGTGGGAGAAAAAATTGCATTTATTGAATTAGGACAGGCATTCATTGTCTTCACAAGGTACTTTGTTGATAAAGGATCAGGTACGGGTATCTTACTACTATAGACAACGTGTAGTGTGTAACTGCCATCTTAGCGGTACCAGTGTAGTTGGTTTCTATATGTTTCCACATGCCTTATTATGCATGCTTTATTCTGACCCATATAATATATGTTGCATAATAATGAGTCAAACATCCACCCACTCCTCATGAGAAGCATAGTTTCATTTTTCTTTCAGAGTATTTAGCACACTATATGAACTGTAAGCACAGGCAGGAAATAAATCCCTGTTGGTTTGTTAAAATGTGTAGTTAGTTCAGGCCAAATGGTGAGTCCCTGCCTAATGCACTCATACTTGCAAATGTCCCCCAAGAGACTTTGTGCTCCAGATCTTGTCTGAACTGTTAGCATTGTCTATGCAAAGCATGTTGTTGTCGTCGTCTAACTGCCTGAGCCCAGTGAGACATGGTGGGTCATCAGCAGCAGCTTGAACCCCACGACTCTAATCGCATGCCAAGATCACTTTCACCACGTTGTGTCAACTCATAGCTTCTCTCCACTTGTGAAATATCACAAGTTTGACTTGTACTTGCTGTACAGTGTTATTTTTGAGTAAATATGAGACAAGCTGTCTAATAACTGCTTGATATTTCTCTGTCCTCTGTCTGACTTTCTACTCCTCGTTTTTTTTCACAGAATCAACCACAGATCTGGCCATCATCCTCATCACTGTCTCGTTTGAGCCAGAAGAAAAAGAAAGACGAGCATGGTCTGGTGTGGGGGCCGGTGTTGCTATGCTTGAGGGAGTGCTGTGGCGTCAATGGAGACCGAAGGCTATCGTGACCTCCTGGAGACCAGCGATGGTCAGGGGGTAGGCCTGCTGGATGGAGGGGGTGAGGTGGGGGTGGAGGAGGGCTGGAGCACGCCCTACCCCCTGGGCTTCCAGGTGTCTTTGACCACTGTGCTGCTGCTGGAGCTGGTGTTGGGCTTCAGCAGTAACCTGACAGTACTTGTGCTCTACTGTGCTCAGTCCAACCTGGTGGATTCAGTCAGCAACCTTGTCACAGTCAACCTCCACGTTCTGGACATACTTGTATGTCTGTTGTGTCTGCCACTGACTGTGGCTGTGATCCTGCTACCAGCCAATGAAAGTGGAGTCGGCAGCCTGGCCACGCTGTGCTGCTTTCACGAAGCCTGTGTCACGTTCACCAGTGTGGCCACAGCAGTCAATGTGCTGGTGATCAGTTTGGACCGATACGACATCTCAGTGCGTCCAGCCAGTCGCCTGCTGACCCCAAGGCGTGCAGCTCTGCTCCTGGCAGCCGTATGGGCCGTTTCCCTTGCTGTCTTCTTCCTGCCCTTCCTTGAGGGGAATTTCTTCTCTTCGTTGGTTGAGGACAGTGAGGATGAGGAGCCAAAAGGGCAGAACAATGTCTCTGAGTTCACCACTAGATTGACCAACATGTTTTCCTCAATCTCTCCTTCCTCCATCTCTCCTTCTTCCATCTCACCTTCCTCCATATCTCCTTCCTCTTTTCCATCAACACGTCCTTCTTCCCCTTCACACCACCTGACTCCAGAATGGCAGAATAGGACATTACTGTGCGTCGGAGGGCAGGGGTATTATACAGGACTGGCTATGTATTACCACTTGTTACTCCAAGTGCCATGCTTCTTCATCGCTGTGGCTGTCATGTTATTTACCTACTCAAGGATCCTGCGGGCCCTCAACATTCGCATAGGCTCCCATATGATGAGGGGTAAGCGGGCAAAAGACTCCACCTGCAGAATACGCTGCAGAAGGCGTAGAAAGAAGGACCTGAGTCTACCAACCGAGGTAGTGTCCTCCAACCAGAACAAGAACCAAACCAATCCAAACACTCCTACACCAACATCGCCCCCACCACTCCCCTCCATGCTCCAGGGGATTTCTGACAGTGGAGCAACAGTCACTACTGTCAGTACTGCTGCCACCACCCCCATCGCCACTACACCGGCCAGTCTTGCTTCTCCACCTCCAGCTTCAGCCTCATCCCAGCCCCATGCCAACTCACCACTGCCTGCCTCCACCATGGGTGTACAGGCCTCGGTTTCTGCCATCATCGCCTTGAGGCGGGCAGTGCGTAGACACAGGGACCGTCGAGAACGCCAACGTCGCGTCCTTAAAATGTCCCTACTCATCATATCCAGCTTCATGGGCTGCTGGGCCCCTCTGTCCGCAGTCAACATCCTGATCCTGTGCATGGGACCCAGCGACAGCCTGGTGCGGCTGCGCCTCTGCTTCTTAGCGATGGCTTATGGAACCACTATTTTTCATCCTCTGCTCTACGCTTTTACCAGGCAAAAGCTGCGCAAGGCCCTAAAAACACGTGTAAAGAAAAAGGTAGTTTCCCTTCTGCAGGTGGACCCGGCTCCCAGCGGGGGGACAGTTATTCACAATTCCTGGGTGGAAGGTGGAGGCCAGAGGAAGAATCGCAAGCCACGAGGGGAGGCCAGTGAATGTACTGACCGATGCCTCACAGAGGCAGTGAGGGAATAAGTGTGTGTGTGTGTGTGTGTGTGTGTGTGTGTGTGTGTGTGTGTGTGTGTGTGTGTGTGTGTGTGTGTGTGTGTGTGTGTGTGTGTGTGTGTGTGTGTGTGTGTGTCCAATTTACTAGGGATGGTTTGTGTGTATATTCATGAGAAATTCCAGTTAGTTTACAAAGGTCAGGATAAATCCCATGACCACTGGCTCCATGTATATGTGGAGACAGGTGAGCCCTATGCTCTTATTAGAGCCTGCTTTCTGCTCTACTTACAGAGGCCCTCATTAGTCCAGTTTCTGACTGACAACAAGGCCCATGTGTCTCCATGACTACACTGGTCAAGCATTTTGACAACTTCATAGTCCTGGCCAGTAAAACTAGTGAGCACACTACTTGTAGGATAATGGTTAGACTACAGCAAATGCATAAATTACTGTTTTGGCGTGCAATTTCAACATGCATGTGCATGTAAATATGCACATAGTAACAGGTATTCACACATACTCACACTTACACTGCACACTGATCTATATTCAGTCATAATCTGTGAAAGCACACCAATATCTACCTGCACAGATACTCTCAGTGAGATACATATTAATGGGAGTCTATATTTCTCTTTCTTTCCCTCATTTGTTCATGCCTTAATTGAGTTATTAATATATTCTTGTGGTGCTGAATGTCTTCTGTATGTTTACAAACATGAATTGGAGTGAAACTGTTTGCACATACTGTATATGGTATAGCAAATTAATTGCAGGTAAATACAAGCATTCAGATTCAAAGTTTACAAGCTCATATATAACTACCAGGAAACTGCAAAAAAAAATCTAATTTTGTTTCCAGTAACCACCATGTTTCAAAAAATGTGCGCCGTTTAAAGCTAAAAAGGCATGACTTTATTATTTTGTATTAAATAAACTTTAGGAGCAACAGTCATGATTGGTGAAAGCGAGGATGTGTGATTTTGCCTGCATGTATGCATGAGTGTTTGCGTGTGTGATGTATAACGAATAAATGAGCGTGTGTCTGTATATCTGTGCAATAATTAATAAAAGCAATGACCCCTAGGATGTGAACAAAGATAATATGAACACTGAACTGTTGGTTTTCTACTTAAGGTTTAGATTACTGGGGAAAGAGAGAAGAAAGGGGACTTTATCTTCGTGATATAAAACAAGAACACTTTGAGCAATTGTAACTACAGAGGCAACTGTAATCTTAATCAAATGTTATCAGTTCAGTTTTGAAGTAAATATCAAAGGGCCACATTTTTCTGAAAACTTAATTTAAACTGTCAATTGTAGTCACTGCAGGTAAACTAGCATCTTTTACAAGAGAAATCCCATTATGGGGCCAAAACACTTCCGACATGGGACATCTCCTCATGTTAGCTGTTTGTTTCTCTGGACTCACTGCTTTTTGAACAACACTTTGAACGACTGCAGAGGCAGAAAAGCCTCTCTGGACTGAGTCCTGGACATGTTACATGATATCCGTGTCTCTCTTTCTCCTCAGGGTTTCATGTCTCATTTTCCAATGGGCTGGACATAAAATAAGAAACCCGCCCTCTATCAGCTGTTGTATAAAGGGTGTTACAGAGTGTAAAGATTTATGTAAGTTAGTAGATAGAGTACACTTTCAATTTGTATTGGCTCTTGGAGAGTGTCTTTGGGATTTGGGCTATCTCCTTCATCCTCACCTCTTTTACACAATTTGTGAGCCAGACAGAAGACAATAATTATTGTGTATTCATGTACATTTTTCAGGGATGTAAATATTGAAGTGTCTGTTTTGGGTTTTAGTCAAAGAAAATTGTTTTTCATTTGGTCACAATCATCTGCCGGACAGAAAATCAGCCATTGTGATAAATTCTGAGTGAGTTGGAAAGCAACTGTAAAGAGAAGATACATGTAATTGTATGTGTGTTAATACTATATGTGTGTACACTGTACTGTACATTTATGACCATGTGTATAAAGAAATATTAGTATTGTATAACATTTATATTATGTGTTATTGTATAGAACAGAACACAATCTGTATTAAAAGATAATCTCTCTAAGAATGTATCCATCTCCGTCTCAGTTCATACGTGTTTTATCTTCAATGTATTGGTAGTTGTTTATTTTCAAACAGTGATAGACGAACATTTATTTTCTTGACATATGTGCATTTTATCTGCTAAAATTCTGGAAAGAAAGAAAAAACTTATAAATAGCTGTCTTTTTTCTTATTTCTCTGAGCTTAAAGACACAGAATAGAGATGAAAAATAACTAAAGTATTACAAAAGAAGACGTGTTATTATGAATGATGAAAACAAATAATTCAACTAACAGTTCCTAACATGTTATAATTACAGTCTTAATAAATAAGAAAACAAAAAAAATCCCCTTTTGTATATATTGATGTCAATAAATACATAGTTTTCCTCCTACCTTCAGTGCTGTATAGTATACCAATCTAGATTTCTGTGGTGTGAATTGCCAGGTGTTAGAGATATTAGCAGTGGGGATGTCTGCCTTCTCTTTAATATAATGGAAATCATGTTACTCTAGGTCAAAATAATCCACAGACCTTGCTGAGAGCAGTTTGATGTAGGAAATATTTCATTTTCCAAAGTGTCACTGAGCAGAAGGAAGGGTGTCCTGGATGAGAGTCTTGTGACAGGCCCAGATGTAAATATGAATGGCGTCCTCCTCGGCTGAGCTGTAGTGATGGTTAGGCTAGGTCAGCTCAGGTGAGCAACTTGTTTAGAAGTAGATGCATGCTCCCTTTTGTGCAGTGATAGAAAGAAAGCAGCTCCCAGAGCTCCTTGGTCTGTGGATTATCTTGAGTAACTGGGTCATGATTTCTGGAGAGAGAAGTATTTGTTTAAATGTATTTTTGGGGCGATTCGACCACCACAAGTAAAGAACAATCAAGTCCCATTGTACAATTGGCTTCAATTTTGAGTAAAGAGATCATTTAGGTAGAACGTTTTGTCACAGGCCCGTAGCTGCAGCTGTATTTAGTCCTAACAAGAAACTGGTTATTTTGTTCGTGCTCAGTGTAAGGAACTCCTCCATCTCTTTTCCTCTGGACCCTATTGTCCATATCTGTCACTCATTTTTCCTGTCATTCATCTGGTGTTTGCAATTCCAGTCTCTCTGATCCCTAACTTAAGAAGCTCCGTCCCAGATCCTTATTTATTGTTGACTGTATAGCGAACCCTCGCTGTGACGTTTCAACTGTTCTAATCACCAGTGCTAATGAAGATACAATTTGTTAGTCAGATGATCTGTTGAGGCAGCTCTATCAGTTAAGATTTTGACATTTTGTATTTTATAAAACCAGAACAAATCTGTGTGCTTATGTGACCTGTGTCTCTGTGTTTGTTGCCTCATTGCTTAATGCAGTGAGTCAACATCATGGATTTCTCCATTCTACTTTATAATCTCACAAGTCCCCTCCTCTTTTATTCCTTCATTTCCTCCCATGGTTCTCCTTCTCTTTATTCCGTCGGTCGGCATCTCTCTCATATCTTATCCACACTCAGGCCTTCCAGAACAAAGCGAGGAACAGCTGCAGTGTCTGGGAAGGAAGGAAAGTCACCTTGGGGGATGACAGAGGAACAAAAACGTGAGAGAGGAGAAAGAGAGAGAAAGGGAGAGAGAGAGAGAGGGTGAGTGAGATTAAGAGAATTGAGGGGAGATTAGGACGAGAAGAAAGAGGAGAAGGGAGGCATAGAAACTGGCATCGGGACATATGACTAATAAAAGGACAGCACTGCATCACTGAGTCCCATAAAAAAGGGGAAAACCAAGTGCAGGATGATAAGATTAGTGAGCGTTACTGTTTTCTACCACTGCAGTATTGCATGACTGGCCCAGTACAGTCATGCACACTGCCTCTGCCTTTCCATCAACTGTGAAAATGTTTTGGGTGTCATCCAAAAAGCACACAAGATGGCCAACAAGTAAGTATTTATAGTCTCGTCGATATGTTGTGATTTATGGGACAACATTCAACCAGTGACTTCTGAATTGCATGGGAATAAAGAACAAACGAATGGCAGAGTTTAGGGTTCACTTGCCCCAACTTTTACATTCATATCTTTAAATAAATCTAAATGTTTTGAAATTGAGTTGCATGTCATCCTTCTTCTCGTTTACCCCACATTAATCTCTTCAACAGATAAACAAATGCATTACATGCCTAAAACGGCATTTCGAGAATATGTAGTTGGATTGAAACTATGATGAGGCGTGTGGTGCAGTGGAATAGTGCGTTGGTGTTCGGATCAGGGGAGCACAGGTTCAAACCTGTGGAGATTGTCCACAGTATTGAGTATGTAAATCGCTTCGTCTAAGTAACATGTAATAATGATTGAAAGCATCTTAACTATGCAAAATAAAACCAAAAAGTGAGACATTATGAAAAACAATCTTATGATAATACGAGTTTTAGCAAGCATATATTACCAATAATACAATGCTATTTTTCATAGGTTCAATTTAGTTTTAAGATTCATAGTAGATCGGTATGGTCGACAACGGCGCCATCTTGTGTTAAAACCATAAACTATACATGAAGGTTCAAATATTATCTAGGACGACGGTAACTTAAGCTAAACACGGCTAAATGTCGGAGATTGTTTTTTCAATTTATTCTATATTTGCGTTGGTTTTTTTCTTCCTTTTTGGAGTCGCGGTCCGCAAACCTAGGTCGAGAGGATCGTTCACTAAGCTAGGTTGCTTGCGTTAGCCAGCTAATGTTGCCGCATATTAGATTGTGGATAGCTATCGGAGGAAAACTATTCAACCTTACAAAATACGAACCCTGTAAACCTCAGTGGTAGTCACGTACGTATATATACAACCAAGACCACGTCAGAGTACCGTGTGCCGAAATAGCTCAGTTGGGAGAGCGTTAGACTGAAGATCTAAAGGTCCCTGGTTCGATCCCTGGTTTCGGCAGCAATAGTGTTTTGCACATTTCAATCAAGGTAAGATCGTCGTTGCACAACACTTTTGTAGAACTGTCATCCGAAAGATATCCGTGAATTATAGCTTGTATCAAATAAATAACATAAATAATGCATGCAACCTGTATGTAGTGGCAGTAGCTCAGTGTGTAACTGCCTCCTGCCCTGGTGAGCCCTCTTCGTTCTGGCACCATTCAATACATATGTTTATTTGTACTGTAGCCTACAGTATGTGTATTCCGAAAAAAATATATAAACAGAGTAAAAAACTGAATTCCATGATATTTTACATCCTCATTCAAATATGTAGGTATATTGTCAACTGCTTCTTGTGTGCAGTGCATTAAAGCAGGCTGGAAAGTACAATCAAAAAGCATTTATGCATACCGAACAGGGAAGCTATTTAGCTAGGCTACATCTAAGTGCGAACTACACAACCAAAAATAAAACCAGTTCACATGAATTTTCACGAGGGGGCGATATTGTCAAAAGAATAATTGAACCGGAGAGCTTCATCTCACAAGTTTCAAAACAAGTGGAGTTGCAGTTAATCTCAGGGCAGTTACCTATTCCAGGATATCCATGGCCACAATATATCAATGTATGCAGTCACAAAAACCGAACTTGAGTTGAGATAGACTTGACTGGTGACAAGGCAAGGCAAGGCAAGTTTATTTACATAGCACCTTTCAACACAAGGCAATTCAAGGTGCTTTACAAAAATGAAAGACATTCAGACAAAGGCATTTAAAAACAGTCATTAAAAAGAAAAGATAATAAAAGAAACATTAAAAGAAAAAATACATGAATAAAAAGGACATGAATAAAAAGTTACAGTGCCGTTTAAGATATGAATAGTTCACACAGAAGTTCCACTTTACTGATGAACACAACGGCTCAGTTTCAATTAAAATCAGCGACGAAAAGATAAGTCTTCAGCCTGGATTTAAAAGTAATATCAATCAATCAATGTTTATTTATATAGCCCAATATCACAAATGTTACATTTGTCTCAGTGGACTTCACAGTTTGTACAGAGTATCAGTATGACAATACGACACCCTCTGTCCTTAGACCCTCACATCGTACAAGGAAAAACTTTCGGAGAAAACCCACAGTTTAAAGGGAAAAATGGGAGAAACCTCAGGGAGAGCAACAGAGGAGGGATCCCTCTCCCAGGACGGACAGATGTGCAATAGATGCCGTTTGTAAATGATAAGAGTTGCAGCGGACCTGCAGGTTTCTGGGAGTTTGTTCCAGATATTTGGAGCATAATAACTGAACGCTGCTTTACCATGTTTAGTTCTGACTCTAGGGACAGAAAGCTGACCAGTCCCTGAAGACCTGAGAGATCTGGATGGTTCATAATTTAGCAGTGGGTCAGAAATGTATTTTGGGCCAAAACCATTCAAAGCTTTATAAACCAGCAGCAGTATTTTGAAATATATTCTTTGACACACAGGAAGCCAAGACTTCAGAACAGGAGTCATGTGATCCACTTTCTTAGTGTCAGTGAGGACTCGAGCAGCGGCGTTCTGAATCAGCTGCAGCTTTCTAATAGATGTTTTAGTGAGACCTGTGAAGACACCATTACAGTAGTCGAGTCTACTGAAGATAAAAGCATGGACAAGTTTTTCCAAATCCTGCCGTGACATTAGTCTTTTAATCCTAGATATGTTCTTTAGGTGATAGTAGGCTGATTTAGTAATTGTTTTAATGTGACTTTTGAAACTCAGGTCAGAGTTCATGACTACACCTAGATTTCTGGCTTTATCTGTTGTTTTGAACATTGCAGGCTGAAGCTCAGCGCTAACTTTTATACGTTCTGCCTTGGCTCCAAAAACCATTACCTCAGTTTTATCTTTGTTTAATTGAAGAAAGTTCTGACACATCCAGTCATTGATTTGTTCAATGAACTTACTCAGTGTTTGAATTGGAGCATAGTCTCCTGGTGAAAGGGTTATGTAAATGTGTGTGTCATCCGCATACCTATGGTAACTTATTTTTGTTGTTTTTCATTATCTGAGCCAGTGGTAGCATGTAGACGTTAAAGAGAAGAGGCCCCAAGATGGAGCCTTGAGGTACCCCACATGTCATATTTGT